GCAAGTCACTGCAGCCTGTTTGCCTCAGTTTCCTTATCTGTAAAAGTGAGCTGGAGAAGGAAATGGCAAACCACTGCAGTATCTCTGCCAAGAAAACCCCAAATGGGGTCATGGAGAGTCAGACATGGCCAAAATGACTGAACAACGGATGGCTTTTAAGGTCCTTCAGCTTAGGAGGAAGAGGGAGATATAGCTATATACTATACATATGTATATATATGTGTGTGTGTGTGTGTGTCTGTGTGTGTGTGTGTGTGCATATACACATATATGTGTATATGCATGTATATGTATATGTGCTTTACATATATATACATATACACATATTAAGAGAGGCAGAGTATCACAGTGTGATCACAGTATATCAGAACGCTAGATTTGGAGTCATAGGATGACCTGGGTTCAAATCCTGCCGCTATCTGAGTGACCTGAATATGTTACTTCCCTCTCTATTGTTTCCTGTAAGAGCAGGTTGCTCTCAAAGGCCTCTAAATTCCCTCCTCCTCTAAATTTATGCTCCATGATATATGGCTCTGAGCAAAGACACTGAAAAGAGTTCCCTTGCCTAGGGGTGAGGAGCACAGAATGTGCCAGCTCAGTGAAGGAAGCTGAGCTAAGGACCAGAATGATGTGTCAAGGGAAGTGTCAGAGCTGTGTATCTCAGAAGGAAAACACTCCTTTTAATTAGAGGGCTCTGGTTCTAAAAATGTGGAGTATTGAAAGGCAAGGCTTCCATAGAACAATGAGAATATGTTTAATCAGCCACATTCCAGACAATGCTTTCTTTAAAGGCTTAATCTGCAGCAAATTGGGCTTCTCAAGTAGGGGAGGCTAGATTTCTCCCAGTTTAGCAATTCAGCTGAAAAAACATTGTATCCTGAAGCTACAAAAATGTTTAAAGCTTTCTTTTAAACAGTCTCAGCGATGTTTTCCCTTTCATGCTATCAGCCCCAACTCAGCTGAAGAAGAGTGACTTTCTAAAGAGCACTTCATCTAATTCTTTAGGTTTTATTTTAAGGTGGGGTAGGGGGAGGAGGGGAAAGAGGGGAAATGGGGGGAGAAAGAATTTCTGGATTTAGAGAGAGGAACCAGAGCCCCTTAGAGGCACCAGAGTGATGGAAGCAGTCCCAGGGATCAGCTAATGTGACTCTCTCATTTTATCAAGGAGGGAAACTGAGGCCAGAGAGGTAAAACAACTTGCTCACAGTCACAAGAGGAGCAATTTGCCCAACTAGGATTCGTACCCAGCTCTTCTGACTCCCAATCCGTTACTACAGGTTTGTGAGTACAGGTGCAGCCCTCGGCTCGCTATCTTTTCTTTGTTGCCCACTCCCTTCAAACTGCAGCCTCAAGGACACTGGGGCTCCTAGGTTTATTATCCCCCTCAATGAGAGAGGGCAGAGATCAGCCAGATTATGCCCATCAGACATCATGAATACTTCCATTCACTCATTCAGCAAATATGGGATGAACCCTACCCTAGGCGAGTCCTTGTGCTCTTATTTGGATGGGTGGGGGCGCTGGTGTTGAACTCTCCAATCTATAGAGGTGGCTATGGGAAGCCTTACTGACCTTGGGACCATGGATAATACAGAGTGTTTTTTTTTCCCTAAAGATTTATATTTTCCAAGATGCTGAATTATTATTCATATCACTCACACACATACACATACACATAGAGACATCACAGCAATTATTGTTGTCATTTCAGAATCATTTCAGAATCTCCATGACCACATTTGGCGTTTTCTTGGCAAAGATACTGTAGTGGTTTGCCATTTCCTTCTCCAGCTCATTTACAGAGGATGAAACTGGGACAAACAGGGTTAAGTGACTTGCCCAGGATCACACGGTTAGTGTCTGAGGCCAAATTTGAACTCAGGAAGATGAGTCCTCCAGTCTCCAGGCCCATGGCTCTCTCCACAGCACCACCTAGCTGCCCCATTTTTTTTAACAAAATTTTTGTTAATGAAAAAAATGGCATCTTCAATTTGGCCCTTCATTTACATGTTGCCTGGAAAGATCAAAAGGCTAGAATATGCCCGTTAAGAGCCACTGTCCCCTCAGTGGCATTCTTTGTCACGTAGATGCTAACATTGATTACGTATAAGCCCAAAGTGGGGAATATATGCCACTCCTCTTTGGCCTCATTCCTATAACTAAATGCCTCCCCCCAGACAAAGTCAGGACATCTCAGGAGAGGAGGGGCAGAGCTGTGGGATTACAGTTGTATGTGGGACAGACACCCTTGCTATAATTCTGTCTAGTAATCATGCCCTGCAACTGGGTCCCACCTTGTGATGATACTTGCCCTACTTATCTAATGGTATCTCAGCTTGGTTCAATGTCATTCTACAATATCCAACGGTGTTTATTAGGTACCTAGTATTTACAAAGTTTGGAGCATTGCCTGGGGCACGGATTGGTTCTAGTGTGTGACCCATAGTCAGGTGGCCAGTAGTTTGTGAAGAAGGGTTTGACAATAACCCCTTTGAAGGGTGAACCTCTAGTCCCCACAACAGGCTGCCTCTCAGTTACTAAACAAGTTGTGGTTCTGTATCAATTGTTATCAGTGAAGGAAAATCTAATGAAATCATAAGTCTAGACAAAAAAAAATGTCCATCTCATTTAGAGGTAGTGTGCTTGGAGTCAGGAAAATGGATTAAAATCCTGCTTCTGGTGAATGTTGAAAACTAAAAATAAACAAATTTATATTAAAAAAATCCTACTTCTGATGCTAGATTTCAAGTTGAGGTTTATATCTAAACTCTCCCAACCATCCAAATCCTCCCCATGGGATTTCAGACAAGTCATTCCCTCCCAATCTCCTCTTCCCTAAATTGAAGGGCGTGGATCCCACCAACAGACATACACATTCCAAGAAGGTCAAAGATAGATAGAAGAAAGAACCCACACATGCCAAAATATTCATAGCAGCACTTTTTGTGATAGCAAAGAACTAGGGGAAGAAATAGGGTAAGGAGCCATCATTTGGGGAATAGCTGAGCAAACGGCAGTATATAAATGTGATGGAATACTAGTGTGTGGTAAGAGATGACGAATATGAAAAAGTAGAGAAAGATGGGAAGAATTGCATGAACTGATACAGGGTGAAGTAAGTAGAACCAGAGCAATACACCTAATGACTGCAGTCATATCAATGACAGAGCACTAAAAGGAAGTTAAACTGCATACAGACTCTCAGATATACCATCTGACCCATGGATTTGCCATCTACCCTTAGGACTTCCAGACCTTTCCATCTATCCTGTAGGCATATTTTCTTTTTTATGTGTTGTCCCCTCTAATTAGCACACGAACACTTTGATAGCAGGGACTGCGTCATTTCTTTTTTCTATTTGTATCTCCAGTAAGTACTTAATAAATGCTTTTTCTTGCTTTCATTCATTCCTTCATTGACTGCTTTGGGTCCCAGAGAACAGATAATGAAAAATATCTCCTTACTCTAGGTAAAGAGGTGGGGATCTCTGGAGACAAAATGTCGAACATAGAGTCAGACATAGTTACTACAATAGTTATTTCTGCTTGTGTTTTTTTTTTTAATGCTAGAAGGGAGAATTCCATTCTGAGGGTTGTAAATATGGGGCTATATTTGGAAATGATTGCAATGTAAAAAGCAAAAGGCATAAATATCACTTTTTAAATGAACGATTTAGACCAGGGGCAGCCAAATGGCACAGAGGATACAGTGCTGGGCTTGGAGTCCGGAGGACTCATCTTCCTGAGTTCAAATCTGGCCTCAGACTTTACTAGATATGTGACCCTGGGCAAGTCACTTGACTCTGTTTGCCTTAGTTTCCTCATCTGTAAAATGACCTCGAGAAAGAAACGGCAAACCACTCCAATATCTTCACAAGAAAACCCCAAACAGGGTCACAAAGAATCACACACAACTGAAAAATGGCTAAAGAACAATTGGACTAGGTAGTTGTGGTAGTGTTAGATGATTAGATCCTGCCTCAGACACTTATGGTAACTCAGGACAAGTCACTGAATTAGATTGTGAGCTCCTTAAGGGCAGACATTGGGTTTTTGGCCTTGTTTTGTATCCCCAGCACTTACCACAGTGCCTGGAACACAGTAGGTGCTTAATACAAGCTTAATGACTAACTGACCCTCTCAGCCTTTGTTTCCTCAGTAAAATGAAGAGATTGGACTTATTGACCTCTAAGATCCTTTCCGTCTCCTATGACCTCTACAATTCCTTTCCAGCTATGTGTAATGACCTTATAACTACATAGCAAGTACTTAATAGATACTCCATGTATCTGAATACTATGATCTCCACTTTTCAGTTGAGGAAACTGAGACTGAAAATAGTTGTGAGTTGCCAAGGGTCTTACAGCTAGTCAGCATCTGATCCTGGATTTGAACTCAGATCTCCCGGCTCCAAGTCCAAAATTCTAGCCATTAAATCTCACTACCCTTTTTTTTCCTTTTTGGTGAGGCAAATGGGGTTAAGTGACTTGCCCAGGGTCACACAGCTAGTAAGTGTCAAATGTCAGAAGCCAGATTTGAACTTAGATCTTCCTGACTCCAAGGCCAGAGCTCTATCCATTGTACCATCTAGCTGCCCTAAACCTCACTACCTTTTAAAGATGGCACCAATGATGCATTCAAGGAGCTTATTCCCTCATAGAGGAGTTATGACCAACAATATGTGAAAAAAGAAATAAGGGCAAATGGTAAATCTAGATTTCCTGCACTAAAAAAAAATGATGGAAAAGAGATACCTATTAGCTGGAGAGATCAATAAAAGCTTCATGGAGAAAGGTAGATCTTGGAGGAGCAGAAGCTTTTTAACAAGTGGATGGATTGGGGCCTAGGTGGCCTGCAAAAATGTCCAGAGGTCGTTCGAGAGGAGAAGCCACCTTCCAAAAAGCACTTGAGCAACTCTCAGAGCAGATCTCTAGGAAAAGCATTACATAAAACCAACAAATCACCAAATTCTGAATAAAGCAACAGTTATCATTCCTTACTTGAGATTTTCTCCATAGTTGTTCATGCTGGAAGATACAGAAATGATGCAGATCACAAGTGGAGAACCTGCAAAAAATCAAAGCAGGAGAAAGTGTATGTTTTTTTTTCAATTTTCATTTATTCAATCATTCATTCAATAAATATCTACTGACCGCCTGCTACCAGCCCCCAAAGCTGTATCAGAAGAAACAGAACACAGTCCCTGCCTTCCAGGTGTTTACAATCCATCTTGGGGAAGTAAGACACTCTCATGAGCCAGACCCTATGCTGAGCACTGGGGATACAAAGAAAGGTAAATACACTAAATTAAATAAGCATTCCCACACTTAAGGAATGGACACATACACAGGGATAAATAATATACATACAAAGCAAAACCAGAGGCCATGACTTTTTAGCTGGGAAGTACCGCAAGTACCCCTGGAGCTGAGCATGGAAGGAAACCTCTGAGAGGCAGAGGTGACAAAGGAAAGCATTCTAGGATGGGGTAGAAGTCAGGCATATTGTCTGGGGAGGCCTCAGTCAGTGGGAGGGAGAGGGAGGTTATAGAGAAGAGGGAAATGGGACCAAAGGTAACTTTTGGCAGCCTTGATTTGAGCCTCTCAAGGCAGATACGCTCTAGTTATCCATGGGCATAGAATTAGCGGCATCCAAGCCCACTCTCAAAATCAGTTTAACTGAGTCATTTTTTTTCCTCTTTTTTCCTTTCCTTTCCTCCTTTGCCCTCCCCTCCCCTTCCCTGAGGGAGACAGGGAATCTTATCCAGGCTGAAAGTTCAATGGCCATTCACAGACCTGATCCCACTACTGATCAGCAGGGAAACTTTGACCTGTTCCATCTCCAACCTGGGACAGTTGGCCCCTCCTTACCCAGCCTGCTGGCTCCCCCTGCTCTCAGAGGCTCATCATCTTAATGCCAGATACTACAGACATCCTCTCAGCTTAACCTATTGCAACTCAGAATTCTTGAGTCCGAGTTATCGTCCAGCTTCAGCCATCTTGGTAATAAGAGATACAAATGTGCCCACCAAGCCCAGCTGGAGTCACTTTGAAAAGAAGTTTCCTAAAAAGCTGTTAAGACAGTGAGGTGGTACAGTAAACAGAGCAGTAATAGTCCAGTTAAAGCAAGAAGGGGAATAATATGAGATATCTAGAAAGGGAAATGGTAGCTACATATGAGAAGACTTTACAATGAAGCCTGAGGAGTTAGCTTTTAATAGGGAGCCACTGAAGATCTTTGAGCAGGAGAGAGACTTGGTCAGACCTGTGTGCCAGACACTTCCTATCTCTGAGCATCAGTTTTCTCATGTAAAAAATGTGTGTAACAGGAGAAATTTCCTCACCTCCCTCCCATGCCTATTGTGAGGAAAATGTATTCACAGATAACCCTATATATAAATGTGTCATCATTACTCAGACCAGAAATTCAGCTTCTATAGAGGAGTAGACTAGGCTTATGGGAATTCTTGACATCACCCTGGCTGTTAGAGGGAATGCAAAATCTTCTCCTTCAAGCTGCCACAGCTTTTGAATGACTGGGTTTGGAGGAGAGGCTGGTGCTGCCCCAGAGTGAAATTCAACCAGGCCGAGGACTGGTAATGGATTTTATCGCTTGGTCGAGTGCTTAAGACGACAGTTATTAGATACAAGGAACTGGGTAGAAATTGCTGCAATTTGGGTGTTTTTGCTATTGAAGTTAACTGATTTGTATAAACTCCTATCACTCGCTGTTTCTCCGCTCCAGTTTTGGATCTTATGAACGCGTCTGTTTGGTTTTGTTTGCAGAAAGGCCGGGGAGGCCTAAGAAACCTCATAAGCTCACAAGGTGGGTTTGCCATGAAATGATGGCCTTTTTCTCTCACAACAAGCTTGAAGTTTCCATTCTGAAGTTTTCATGCCCCGTTGGACCTCACCATCTCTCCTGCTCCTGGTTCTGCCCCTGGAACAAATCTCATCTCTCATCTCCCTTGCACATGGAAGTCCTTTCAGTTTTGACCATCATTGTTCTTTGTTTTTATTATTGTTGTGCAGCCATTGTAGCTGCGTCCACTCTTCATGACCCTCTTTGTGTTTGTTGAGGGTTTTTGGCAAAGATACCAGAGTGGTTTGTCATTTCCTTCTCCAGCTCATTTTTCAGATGAGGAAACTAAGGCAAACATGACTTGCCCATGATCACACAACTATTAAGTGTCAGAGGCTGGATTTGAACTCAGTTCTCTCTGACTCCAGGCCCAGTAACACTCCATCATAGGTTCTGTGCCACCTATCTGCCCCATCATTTTTCTTTACTCTGGGCTAAATACTCTCAGATGCTTAAAACATCCCCAAATGACATGGCACCGTGCTGACGACTGTCCTCTGAACGCTGTCTGGCTTCTCTCTGCATTTCCTGAATTGTGGTGCCTGGGACTGAACACAAAACTCCAGATGTGGTCAGATCAGAATGGAGAACAGATGGATCAGCACCGCCATATTCCCCCTTACTAGAGAGTAAACTCTTTTTGAATGCAGATCATTTCTTATTCATCTCAATGCCTCACCTAGCACTCAATACCCAGTAGGCACTTAATAAATGCTTATACCAAGAGAACAGAGTCAAAGAGAGCACTGGCAAGAGGCCAGGGTATAGATTAGAGAGCAGAGAAGAGCAGGGAGGGATGACAAACACATTAGATAACAGGGTCAGATCAGGAAAGATCTTGATTGATTAAAAAAACTGGGCAGAATGTAATAAGGTGGAATTTAAAGGGGATAAGTGTCAAGTTTGGAGAAGCAATGTAATGTACCGGATAGAAAACCAGCCTCAGAATCAAGAAGTCCTGCCTCCCAGGTTTGACTGTTGACCTTGAGCAAGTCACTTAAATCCATATCTAAGAGTTTGGTTTCTTTTCTCAAGCCTCATCCTTTTTGACTTCTCTGTTAGCCTTAGACCCTTAGCTCGCCCTCTTGTCCTTGATACTCTCTTTTCTCTAGGTGTTCATGACACTGTTGTCCACTGGTTTCCTTCCAACCTGTCTGTCTGATTCTTCTCATTCTCCTTTGCTTGAGTTTCATCCATGTCATTTCCACTGACCTATAGGTATACCCTAAGGCCCTGTCCTAGAATCCCCTTCTATATAACTTCACTTGATGATCTCTTCAGCTTCCATGGATTCAATTGTCATTGCTATGCAAATAATTATCCCATTTATTTATCCAGCCCTAACCTCTCTTTTGACTTCCAGTCTTGCATTTCCAACTGCCTATCAAATATCTCAAACAGGATATCCTATAGACACCTTAAACACATGTCCCAAATTGCACTCATTATCTTTCCCCCCAAACCCTCCCTTCCTCCTCACTTTCCTATTACTGTCGAGGGTGACACCATCCTCCCAGTTGCCCACACTCATCAAATTCATGTCATCCTCTATTTCTTACTGTCTCTCATTTCCCATATCCAATCACTTATCAAGTCCCCAGGCACTGGGGATAGAAATCCAGTGAATGGAAGACTCCCTATTCACAAGAAGTTGACATTCTAACAGAGGAGACAACAATTACAATATAAGTATATGCAGACTACCTCAAATCCTTTGGAGGTAGGATGGTCTCATGGAGAGAATACTAGAATTGGAATCAGGAAGAACTGGATTTAATCCTTCCTCAGACTTTTTTTCACTATAAAACCCTGGGCAAGACATAACCCTTCGGGATTCTTTCCTCATCAATAAAATCAGTTTAGACTCAATGACCTCTAAGGTCCAGCCCTAAATCTATGATCTTAAGATCCCTCCTTGAGGGATTTTGGCATTCTCTCTCTATTTCATTTTCCATGTGGCATCAATATGTCTCTAGAGACAATTCTCTTTGGCAGCTGAACTGTGCTGTGGTTCACCAGCCTTACTGTCTGAGGTTCCAATAGTAACCAGAGAGGAAAGAGATGAGGGTTCTGGCCCCATCACTCACTGCAGCTTCAGGTTGTGAATTTTTGCTAAGGCTGAGGGAAAATATGACCTGTTGTGCAGAAATAAACCTGAACAAATGTGTGTTTCACTTCAACTTCATTTTCTTGAAATCCTCATTCCACCAAATAGGTGGCTATCCACCCACATCCCACAGAAAGTGATATACACGCAGAATATTCAGCTTGACTAGCTCTTCATTTTGGTGTGCAAAGGGAAAAAAAAAACCGAATAGAGAATATGCTGGCTAGGTAGAACATTAGTCATTGGCTCACTGTGAACACACATGGGCAACAGCCCTAAACACACAATTTTTCCTAATTGTTACAATAGAATATTGAAGGGGAGACTAAAAAAAGGCAAATACTCTCAGGTCCAAACTCTGCCATTGTGATTCAGACATGTTGCTCTCTTAATGGATTCTAGACATTTGGTCTATAGACCAAAAGGTCTCTAGACATTTGGGGAAAGTAATTCTTTTAACTAGAGTAAACCAGAAGGGAACACTCAAAGTCTAATAGCATATTTCATAGACATTTATTGTCTAAAGTTCTTAGCTAAGTGTTTGACTCTGAGATTGGACCTATGATTTAATTGGAACTCCAGGAGGTGGATATGACTTCTACCAGGGCAGATCAGTAACATCGCTGCAATGTGCAATAGCTAACATTCATATCATCCTTTAAGATTTGCTTAAATACTGTTTCCCCTATTCTCACTTCCTTATCATGCACATAGTCTCTACTGGGAAGGTAACTGATCTGATAAACTTAGAGCTGCTACTCTCCCCAGCTCTATTCCCAACTTCCAGCCCTACCTCTCTCTCTTGAGATTAGATCTGGCTCTCTTCTGATGCCAGAGGTCACATTGCTCATGGTTTTCTCCTGCCTTGGTTACTGAGCTCTCCTACTCAGTAAGTGCTTCTGTTATAATATGCCATGGCCAATGGGAGGTGAAAGAAATTCCCTCCGTTCCATTCCCACTGCCCACCGTTAGAGGCACAAGAGTGAAGGCAAAGATTGGGGCTCTCTCAAGAGTTGAGTTCTTCCTTTATAGTTGACTCTCTTCCCTGCTGTCAGAAGTCAAACCTCTTCCAGTTGCCTCTACTGTCTGCTTAGAATTT